CTGCGGAGGGGGAGGAGGAGAAAGGAGGAATGATGTTGAGATGTTCGGCTTCTCCTCTCGGATCTTTCCGTCCTCCGCGGCCCGTCTCAGCTGGCCCGCGCCTGTCGCCGCTTGCCGTCGCGCTCGCTCTGTCGACGTGGCGAGCTTCAGTTCCCGATGCGACCGACGGCCGCGGGCCCACGGAGGTGAAACATGCGTGGGTCCTCACGCTCCCCTCGGGCTCTCTCTTTAGCCTCGAGCTTCGTGCCATTCCCCTTTATATCGAACGCTTCGCGGAAACCGTCGTCCCTCGGTGTAGTTGTTGAGCGCGCAGGAAGACCCCTGAAGGCTTCAAATTGGTGCACGCCCTCTTCTTCCTTTGCAGGATTTTTCAAGCGACCATTTTTCGATAGTTTTTCGAGCGCTTTTTGAGGCTCTTGATTTTGGTGGTATCTTCACTTTCTGGAGCAATTTCTGCTGAATGTCGTACCTACACACTCTAGCGGGCATCGCCGATTACGGTTCTAAGAACCTTTTGAGGTTCCAACGAAATGTTCTTAGAACATTTATGGCGGAGTCTGTCTTGATTCATCACATCGGGGTTATGTTCTAAGAACATTGTTTGAGTTCTTAGAACAGCTTTGGGTTCTAAGAACATTTCGTGGTAGGACTATAGGAATGCCTGGACGGTCGGTCCCTGCTCAACCATGGCGGCTCCTCCGGCGCCGCCCCTGGCGCGCCGATGCAGAGCTCGTCGGAGGGCCTCCGTGCACACGGTTCGTCGGAGGGCGTCCTTTGCACACCTTCTCATGCTGGCGGGCCGCCCGGGCCTCCTAATCCTCCTCCGCCTCTTCCTCCTCCTCCGCCTCCTCCTCCCCCTCCTCCTCCTCCTCCTCCTCCTCCGCCTCCTCCTCCTCCTCCTCCTCCTCCCCCTACCCCTCCTCCTCCTCCTCCTCCGCCTCCTCCTCCCCCTCGTCCTTCTCCTCCTCCTCCTCCTCCTCCCCCTTCTCCTCCTCTTTCCGCCTCCTCCTCCTCCGCCCTTGGGCGCCAGCCCTCCTGTGAGAGCCTCGCCCCTTCCCTTTCCGTGTGCATGCCGGCGCTTGCTGCCTACGGAACTCCTCGAACCGTCGAGAAGACCACGAGAGCCTTGGAAAACCTCGGGCCTCGAGCCTCAGGAGGGGAATAAAACACACAGACACAAGTCATCGTCGATTCCCAGGAAAATATGAGAAACTATTGGATGTGGGGGGGGGATACGAACACGTAGAAGATGTTGAAACAGATGCGGAATCCTGTCATTTGTGTGTATTTATTTGTGTGTCCCTGGGCTGTTGAGGGAACCTCGGACAACCTCGGGCCTCGAGCCCTCTGATCCGACGAAGGCATCTATGCACCACCACGGTTCCAGGCCAGGTCCATCCTGGGCCCTGGGATCCATCCTACCGGGTATGGCCAGGACCCCAGGTAAGGGGACCCGGTTAGTCGTGGGGCCCTGGAGCCCCTGCATTGGCCAGAGTCACTAAACCAGGGTTGCCGTAGTTGGTGTGTTTTCGGGTGACGGCAGTTCTGGATAGTGGAACGGGTCGGGGTGGCTTCCCCCAGTACACATCACTAAACCAGGTCCGGTCCTATTGAACCCAGTTCTGCCAACGCCCGACTCTGATCCGACGAAGGCATCTAACATTACACCACCACCGTGCCAGGCCAGGTCCATCCTGGGCCCTAGCATGGTGTGTAGACCCTCCTGGAGCTGGAGCGTGTTTTTTATTGCTTGGGGCACAATGGTCATTATAGCCCCCGGCCCCCCTCCCCCCCCATCCCGTCTAACGTAACGCCCCTCTTCCCCCCCAGTGCGCTCTGGGCACTGCCGCCGTGCGCACGGCGGAGGGAGGCGTTACATTACACCTCCCCCTTGGCCCCTCCCCCCTCCCCAAGAATGCCCATTATCGCCGAAAATAGAGAAACGCGCTTCTGGGGGCATTCGGCCTCGCAGGCCGCGCGCATGTCCTGCCGCACCGCAGGAGCTGCATGGCGGCCGCGGCCCACCCACTCAGAGCTCCGACGCCGTCTGCACTTCACAGCTCACGAGGGGAAAGCAAAACACAGACACCAATGAAGCGTCGACTCCCAGGAAAGATGGGGACATGGGAAGTGGGGGGGAAGACGAATACCCAGAACGTATGGAACAATATGGGGGATCCTGGGATTTAGCGTGTATTTCTTTGTGTGCTCCTGGGCCCCTTGAAGCACAGCGTCGGCCCCCAGAGGTCCAGACCCTTCTCTTCTCCTCATCGTCGTCGTCCTCCTCGTTCCCCTCGTGCACCTTCTCCTTCTCTTCCTCGTGCTCCTCCTCGTCCTCCTCCTCGCCCTCCTCCTCGTCCTCCTCAGAGGTCTCGCTCGACCCTCCTCCTCCTCCTCCTCCTCCTCCTGCTTCTCTTCCTCCATTGCTCCTCCTGCTTATCGTCCTCGTCCTCCTCCTCAGGTCTAGCTCGACCCTCCTCCTGCTCCTCCTCCTTCCGCTCCTCCTCCTCCTAGACTCGACATTGCGAAGAGGTTCGATCCTAATCGCCGACTCGAACCGCGGGGGGCCAGAACACCACCTGAGGTGCCTGGACCCCCCGACCGTGAAGAAGCCGCAGTCGACGTACTTCACTCGTGCACGACGGCCCACCCGCCGAAGTGCACCGCGATGTGCAGGGAGGGGGGGGGACGGCGGGCCAGCGCGCAAGACGGCTGGGCCCTCACCGTCTCCCACGCGATCCCCTCCCTGCGCCGGAGCTGCGCCCAGCGCCCCGAGATCGCCTGCCGCCGCCGCTGACCACCTGAAAGTGCCCTCCTCCGCGTCGCCGTACCCCTCGGAGTACTCGCGGAGCCAGTCCAGCGGCTTGTGGGCGTAGCAGTCGAAGTCGGCCGCACGGAAGCCCCGAGCGAGCCACGCGCCGCGCAGCGCCGCACGAGCCCGCCCCTCCGCGTCGGCCTCCACGACCGCAGCAGCACCAGCCGCCGAACCAGAAACGCCAGCGGTGGCCTCCGCTCCGCCCGACGCGCTCGCCGCACCAGCAGCTGACGGCGCGGGCTCCGCGGGGGCCGCACGAACGAGACCATCGGCCCACTCGTCGTCCATCGCGTCGTCGGAGGCGGCCGAGGCCGCCGCCGCGGCTACCAGCTCGAGCCCGCGGCCCGCGCCAGCAGCCCCAGCGGCCGCCGCGGCACCGACCGCCGCCGCAGCGGGGGGCGCCGCGTCCTCCGACGGGACAGCATTCGCCCTGGCGGCCGCGCGCCGCGCAGCGCGGCGCTGACGGCGGCGCCGCCGCCGCGCAGCCCGCACCGCGGGGTCAGCGCCGCCTCCAGGCCGAGCAGACGCCGCGGGCGCCGCGGGAGCCGCAGGCGGCTCCGCAGCACCCCCAGCGGCCTCCGCGGCAGGCTGGCGAGACTTGGACGCCTCCAGCTCCGCCACGGCCGCGCGGCACAAGCCCTCGGCGGTGCGCAGCAGGCGGCAAGCCGCTGCTGCGCCCCGCGCGAGGCCCGTGGCCGCGTGCGTCGCCAGCGCCGCGCCGCGCGCGGCAGCCAGCGCGTTCTGGCGCTCCCGCAGCCCAGGCGCCATGTGCTCCAGGGACCGCGGCGGGCACGAGCGGTTTGGGAATGGCACGATGGCTGCTCCTCCTCCTCCTCCTCCTCCTCCTCCTCCTCCCTCCTCCTCCTCCTCTGCCCCCCCCCCCCACACCCCAAAAGCGCTGGCCAGGCCGGCCCTCCGCCGCTGGCGCTCCCCACTGCCCAGGGCCAGGTTCTCGTCCCGAGCCGTTATGTTGTTGACGGCGTCTGGGGCCCAGCAGTGCTCCTTCTTGGCATCGCTCGGACGTGTGCATTTTTCCTTTCAGCGAGAAACATCGAGGAGCATCCTTGATCACTTGGCGAAAACAACACGCGCGAAACAGACAAAAACACAGGAAATGGACGTCCGAGCGATGGCCAGCCTTTCGATTCCTCCGATCCGATTCGATTCGATCGCGACGGATTCCGATGCCGATTCGATCCGGCTTGGGATTCCGACTCGGGCCGCGATGTCTCATTGTAGGCCTGCCAGCCTGCCCGTGCCTACTGGTTCGACTTTTCCCGACTCGGCTGCCGATTTCCGGCGATCCGATTCATTTCGATCGCCGATCCGATTTATCGATTCGATTCTGGGCTTTCGTGCCCAGTAATTGGGTGACCCAAAATGGGGTCCAGCGACAAGGAGGTGGCGCAATTATTTCGTGCAACAGATTAGTGAGGTCGCAATACATGTGGGGCGTGCATTACATCTCGAGGCGCAGATGTATTGCTGTCTTTTCGCGTGCGAAACATTACTTGCAGTGCAATGCAATTCAATTCTCCAGCGCAGTACATTTGCAACACAATTGCCCCAAATCTATCACACCACCCCCTTCCAGCTGGACCCCCTTTTGGGCCTCCCGAAAGTAAGGGCCCCCGGCGGTCGAAAGTTCTAGATCTTCCCTGTGCAGCGAGAGGAGAGGGAGGGGCGGAGCGAGGGAGCACCAGACGACGGCGCGTCGGGTGCTCGAGCTGTGTGCAGTGGGGGCGTGCATCAAGAAACCATTCCCCAATCAGTGCTTGCACTGAAGGGGTCCTAGCGGTAGTTGAAAGAGTTAGCGAAAGTTTCAGTTGATTTTGGTAGCCGGCTGGGTTTTCGAGGGTCCGAGTTCCGGGTTCCCGGGTTCCCAGTCATTGGTTCCGGGCCGATTTCGGTGAGTTCTGGGTTCCCGGGCTCCCGGGTTCCCGGTCGATCTCCTCAGCGAAAACCATCCATTGATTGGGGCTTTTCTTTGGTGTGATATGCTTTTCGTCATGGGTTTCTTCGCTCCGCGCGCTGCGCGGTGACTTCCCGCGGCCGTTGAAGAAGCTGCTGCGTTCAGGGTTCTCCAGGTTTCCCCTCAGGTGCACCTCGCGCACGGGTTCTCAGAGGTGGGTTTCTTTCGAGGGTTTCGTGCGGCCGCGCCCGCACTGTGTCTCATCCCCACGAGGCTGCTGGGCGCCCTGCTGGGCTCCGGGATGTCCTCCAACAGAGTGGTATCGAACAAGGCCAGGCTCTGCTCCTTTCAATCTTTATGCCTCTCTCTTTTCGGTGGCGCCCACAAGGGGGGTGGCGCGAGGGGGGTGAGCTTCTGAGAAGAAGGCGGGGGGGGGCTTCTCAGGAGGCGGGGGGGCCCTCTTGAAGGTGCCTGGGAGGCTGCGTCTTAAGAAAGACCAGCTGGCCCCGAGAAGCCACCCTGCCTTTTGAGAAGCCCCCTGCCTTCTGAGAAGCGGGCCCCCCTCGCGCCAGCCTCTTTTTTGGCGCCGCCACTCCTCGTTCCGCCGCTGGCCCATGGCTCAGCCACGCGCAGAGGGGGGTGGGGGGAGGGGGAAGGGCTTCTTAGAAGCACCCCTGCTTAGAACGCGCGGGCCTTATCTAGATGTAAGGCCGGCGCCTTCTAAGAAGCAGCCTCCTTCTAAGAAGCCCTTCCCCCTCCCTCCACCCCCTCGTGCGCGCCGCCAAATGGCGTCGGCGACTGCTCGGCACGTAAGTCTGCACAGCTGGGTTCGCAGGGTCCGATCATCGGAGGCGGGCGCCGAAGCCCAGCGAGAGAGGCGACGTTGTGGACATGGCACGCGGCGCGGTGTCTCGCAGCATGCAGTTGGTCAGTTCTTTCTCAGGGGGCGGCTGGAAGCGCAGTCCAGTTTCAACGCCTTCCCACTTTCTGCTTCTGCCCACGCCTCCCGAATGGGCCCAGTCAACCCGCACCGTAAGAATGCGCAACTTTCCTGGGCCACCCTCGCATCCTTGCCCTTCGGCTCCGCCTTGGCCGCTTTCGCTTGTCGCGCCCCGCTCGCAAACGGCGTTGACACGGCCCTCCATGGCCCTTGCGCTGCATCGTGCGTCATTTACAATGGGCTGACTCCAAGGACGTGGTGACCAGAATTCCGACGTCTTGTTTTTATTCGCAGCGTGGCCCCCAAGAGGTTTGGGCCCCTTTCCGGGGACCGGGGAAAGCCCCCCGAGGGCGGAAAGGGCTCACATCCTCAGAAACAGCGCTGTAACAATTAGTGGCAAGGGGGAAGTCAGACCCTCCAAAACAACAGCTAAACGGGGGGGAGGAGTGGGGGTCCCGACCCCCCCCTGGAGGGTCCAGAAGTTCCCCCCTGGGAAAATGGAGAATTATCGCGGGGGTCCAGAAACTCCGCCCCCTCCCCTGGCAACGACGACGACGACGACGACGATGACGGCGTCGGCGACGGCGACGGCGACGACGACGCCGCCGCCGCCGCCGCCAGCAGCAAACGACGCGGACGACGACGACGTCGACGACGAAAACGACGCCGCCGCCGACGACGACGCCGACGCCAACGCCGACGCCGACGCCCACGCCGCGGCTGAAGACGACGCCGCCGCCGCCGCCGCCGCCGACGACGACGACGACGACGACGATAACGACACCGCTGACGCCGACGGCGAACACGACGACGAGCAGAGTAGAGCATGCGCAGCGAAGTGCATGACATGAGCACGTTGGTGTAGAGTAGAAAAGGCGACGACGTTGGAGTAGAGCAGAAAAGGCGACGACGTTGACGCCGACGACGACGACGCCGACAACGACGCCGACGACGACGAGCAGAGTAGGGTAGGCGACGTCGTTGCCGGCGTGGGAATTCTCCCGGGTGGGGGGGGGGGGGGCTCCTGGATCCCCCGAATAAGTTGTCCTGGGAGGTGAGGGACCACTGTGTGGAGGGGGGGTCAGGGGGGCCCTTGGTTTCGGACCCCCCACTTGGATTTTTATTTTGGGGGATGGGGGTGGGGCCCTGCTTTCTGACCCCTCCCCTTATGGAATTGGCCCAGGCCGGCGGCGGTGGTTCGCGTTTCGAGGGGGCTCTAGCTGCGCTTGCCCGAACAACAGGCAAGCGTAGGGGGGAGGCGCCAGGCCTCCCAGGTCGAACCGGAACATGATGGGCCTGCTTTCCACCACCACCAGGGGCTGTAGGGAGGAAGGAGGTGGAGGACGAGGAGGGGGAGGGCGAAGAGAAGGAGGACGAAAAGTAGGAAGAGGAGGAGAAGGAAATGGAGGACGAGGAAGACGAGGAAGACGAGGACGAAGAGGAGGAGGACGAAGAGGAGGAGGAGGACGAGGAGGAGGAGGAGGAGGAGGAGGACCCCGAGGAGGACCCCGAGGAGGAGGAGGACGAAGAGGAGGAGGAGGAGGAGGAGGAGGAGGAGGAGGAGGACCCCTTCCCCCCTTTAACTTGTGGTGGTGGTGGTGGTGGTGGTGGAAAGCAGGCCCGTCAGAACAGATGGGGCGGGAGGGCCGCCCGCGCCGATGCATTGCCGATGGTGCATCGTTGATACGTCAGCAGTGGCGAAGCGTCCTGGCCTGCCTACTACCGGGTATACCAGAGATCCGATGTCGTGATTTGTTCGATGCGGGGTCCCCGGAAGTCTCGACCTATTCCCCAGGACCGGCTTTTCATCCTGAGTCGTTTTGACGGTCCCGAGGCCCGGCGAAGGCCCCTGGGGGCCGAAATTTGCGAGACACCTCCGTCTTGATGTTTTCAATACGATGGATCTCTGGGATAGCCAGGGACCCCAAGTAAGGGGACCCGGTTATTGGTATTCCAAATCCCTTATTAATCGACCCCCCCTTAAAAAATACCGGACCCCCCTCCAATTGCGACCTGATACTCCGAACCCCCATGTTCGAAAAGGCGCCTTAGTAAACCCGACCCGCTGAGCTCCAATCCAAAGAAAACGCCGTAATAAGCGGGACCCCCCCAGTTACAAAAAAGGCGCCTTAAAAACCGGACCCGGGTGAGGGTTGATAAGAATTTTGGAGCAGGGCCCCGGAGCCCCGAAATTTGGCAGAAGTAAGCCAGGCTTTCCGTCGCTTGTGTTTTTTCGGGTGGCGGCAGTTCCAGTCTGTGGAAACGGGGCGGGGGGGGCGTCCCCCAGTACACATCACTAAACCAGGCCCCATTAAACCCAGTTCTGCCAACGCCCGATTATAGGCCCACCAAAAAATCTTCTAAGATTTTTGTGTTTTGCACGAACTGTTCTCAGAAGGTGTCTGGCTGAAACTGTTCTGTTTTGCACACAACGGGGCTATGGTCTAAGCACATTGTTCTTGTTCATTGAGCATTTCTGGGTTCTAAGATATTTCGTGGTAGGACTATAGGAATGCCAGAACGGTCGGTCCCTGTTCAAGATACATCAGCGATGGATCGGCGATGCGGCGCGATCTCACTCGCCAATTCACTCGGACCCCATTCTGGCGGCAGTGCGGGAGGATCCAGGCACTCCAGGAATGCTCTCGTGGAGGGGGTCATCCCGAGGTTGGAAAACCACACAACTAATTGTTGAATATTTGTTCATTGGAACATGGGGCGGCGACATTAAAGTCGGGTTTCTCCTGCATTTGGACCGCAATTGCCCCTTCCTCCTGCTTCTCCGCGCCCTTCCTGTTCCTCCGCCGCCTCGCTCTTTTCGTCTCCCTTGCGGGGCGAACCGGGTCCAAGTCCAGTCTTGGATGTGTTCCAATTCCAAATCAAACCGAGCCCAAATCGGACAGCGCTGGGGGCCAAGTATTCCAAATCCCTTCTTAATCGTCCCCCGGGTACGGTTTTTTAAGGCGCCTTTTTTTGTAATTGGGGGGGTCCGGTTTTATCAGGGCGTTTCTTTTTGATTGGAGCGTAGTGGGTCCAGTTTATCAAGGCGCGCCGTCGAAGAGGAGGGTCCGAAATATTTGGTCGCATTTGGAGGGGGATCCGGTTTTTTAAGGGGGGCGGATTCGGAGGAGGTTCCCACAAAGCAGGCGCCAAAAACGCACAGCAGCCTCCCGCCGCGATCCGTTGATTCCGAGCGAGTTGTAGGGGGGGGGGGGGGCAGTCGTGGACGTGCCCAGCTGCGCAGGCCGGGTGCCATGTGCTCTCAGCCGGGCCCGTCCCTCTACAGGAGGACGATCCAATGCGAGTTTTTAAAAGATAGTGCAGGGACGATGTTTGGACTGCTTTTGAGCTCTGGGGGTATTTTTTGGGGTATTGGAAATTCTTTACGCTTCGCGTATCCCCACCAGCCCATCTCAAAACAGCAACTCTTGCGAAGCATGCCGACAGTCGTGTTTTTCAAGCGTGTTTCCGCCTGCCCCCGCATATCTCCCCTGTTCCTCCTTCCTCCCGCCTCCTTGTACATCCTCCTTGTGGTGGGAGCGGGAGAAGGACGAGGCGGAGGAGGAGGGAGAGAAAGCGCTCCTCGTGGTTTGAGTCGTTTGGGGTTTCTCGTCCTGGTGTGAGTCGTTCGGGCCCTTCTTCCTGGTGTGAGTCGTTCGGGCTCTTCGTGGTGTGAGTCGTTCGGGCCTCTCGTCCTGGTGTGAGTCGTTCGGGCTTCTCGTGGTGTGAGTTGTTCGGGCCCCTCGTCCTGGTGTGAGTCGTTCGGGCCCCTCCTTCTGGTGTGAGTCGTTCGGGCTCTTGGTGGTGTGAGTCGTTCGGGCCTCTTGGAGGCCTCTTGGGGCGTCTTGGGGGCCTCTTGGCGGCCCCAGGGGCTTCTAGGAGCGTCTGGGGTGCCTTGGGGGAGCCTCTTGGGGCCTCTTGGGAGCCTCTTGGAGGCGGTTTGGGGCGTCTTGGGGGCCTCTTGGCGGCTCCAGGGGCTTCCAGGAGCGTCTTGGGTGCCTCGGGGGAGCCTCTTGGGGCCTCTTGGGGGCCTCTTGGGAGCATCTTGGGGGCCTCTTGGATGCCTCTTGGGGGCTCTTGGAGGCCTCTTGGAGGCCTCTTGGAGGGGTCTGGGAGGAATCTGGGGGCCATCTGTCGGGGGATCGATCACAGATGGGGGGAGCATTTTTTCTCCCCCCCCCGTCGGGGCCAGAATCCTCGTGAGGGGTGTCGTTTTTGAGCCCTCCGAGGAGTTGAAAAAGACCCCTCTGACCACCCGCGAGGCGCCTTCTCCAGGCCCAGGGGTAGGGGGTAGGGGGAGGGGTAAACCCCTCCCCGAAGGGGAAGAAGGGGGGTTGAGAACAGAGCGGGCTCTCTAAACCACTCACGCCCAAAGGGCTGGTGGGATTCCT